AATAAAAGTGTTTTTTATTTTATTTTTTATTTTGCACATAAATTTACAATGGCATTGTCAAATCTCACAATGCCCAGCGATATTTCAGCAGCCGTCATGTTTATTTATATTGGATATTGTAGTTCCGGTTAGTGTTGTATTAATATGCTAAGAATTGTGTCTCGTGATGCATGGTAATTAAAGTCCCATCAACGACACAGCTTTCAAAGAGGCTATATAGTGACAATGCCATGCAAATGTAAATATGTACATATACATCATATTGCAAGAAGATAGAACTGATATACTATAATTGAAAATATAGCTATTATATAAAACCAATAGTCCCCTCGGCTAAAGACAGCCGAAGGCAGCAATTAAGCTGAGAGCATCGCGGACAATGAACGCTGATAGTCTAAATATCAGAACGCTCGCTGGCTCTGCTCTATAGCGAAAGTGCACTAAGACGAGTCGACTCGCCCAATGAAACACAACGACGACCCGCCAAATGATAACCAAAATCGGAGAAGAATCCCCTCTAGAAAACTACTAAATATATGTAGAGGACATATTCTTGCGCAAGATGCACTATCACATAAAGTGAGACAACGAGAGATAAGCACCAGAAAGAAGGGACGAGATATCAAAAACGTGGAACATGTGCACTTGGGAATCTGGCCCGGTAAATGTGAAATATCTCAATTTCCTACGGACTGCCCATATATATATATATGAAGGGCAATTACATTTCCTCTGTGTCGTTCCATTTACTGTGATTCTCTTATCCAAACGTATTATTTAAAAAAATGCAAACTCCCTTGAATTGTTTATGAACGAACTAAAGAAGCATTCATATCCCCATTGAAATACTATTCTCTATTCCTGTTCTCTGGTAAAACGTTTGTCTTAAAGACATATAATATTATAATCTTTTTGGTATTATTTCATAGAATTAGATACATCGTTTCTTTTCTCTTTCTGCCCTTATCCTCTACAGTTTGCAGATTTTATTTAAACGTAATTTGACATTATTATCAAAAATATCTCTCAAAAGCCGAGTAGCTATAGACTTCAATTGAAAAATTGAATTAAATAAAAAAAAAAAAAAATGTAATAAAATTAAAAGATGAGCATTTAAACTACAAATCTCGGGTACATTACATATACATTCACATGCATTTCTAACAACTATACACATCCACATTGCACACTCTACACATATTCTGACACTAGTCAATGATTAAAAACAAACAAATAACAGCACCAATACGTTAATACTATACATGAACAAAGGTAAGGTACATTTCCGCAAGACTGTATCTATCTCTCAACTCATGCATGATTTACCTGACGAAAAAAGGACACAAGAGGTCGCTTTCGATACACTTTTCAATAACCAGAAATTGGATTTGGGTCAGATATGATAAAAAAAACTGAAGGCAAAGCTATCTGCCAGCCAGGTATTTGTATTAGTGTTGATATATATAAATATATATATGTGTGATTTATCTAACGCTTTAATATATTCCCAAGAATCTCATACAGTTTGTATTGTATATAAAAGCGAGCTCCTGTGATGATGAGACAGGTCATGCAATTGCAGACTCGCGTAACAGTACTGGGTATATATTAAATCAAAGTATAAACGTCAATAAAGTTAGTTCCTGTGCCGCTCGAACTTATCAAAGTGACAACCGGAAATATCAAATAAATTATTAAAACAAAAACGGACTCAGGATGAGATCTTTTGCAATGCACGCCATGCACTTTTAAGCTTCGAAGGCGGATAACCGTGCGCTGCCATCAGTTGAAGATTAAATGTTCTACTATAGGTAGCAATATGTACAACATACACAGAACGGATATAGACAGGTTTCACATGAAGCTTATAGGCCAATATTCCTAGATAACAGTCGTCAAAATTAAAAAATCTGGTGAACTGGGAAGCGAAGTGCAGGTCGGTAACGAAGTTCATGGTCATGATCATAAATCCAGCTGACGGCATTGGGGGGTATACGTCATGGGGGTAGTCCTGTGGAGACACGTACCACTTAGACCTCTTACCTCTGTAGGGGCTATGCCTTGTTATGTACCCGCCAAAAAAAGTGGGCACAGTTACTTCGCTTTTTAAAAACTTCACCAAACGTGTAGTAGATACTAGCATATCGTCATCGACAAAAACTACAAACTTAGAACGGTTACAGTGCTGTACGGTCCAATGAATCGCTCCGATTGTCTTTAATGTGTTGTTATAGTAATTGTCACGAAATGACATTAGGATAATGTCTTTATGGAGGTTGTTTTCTTCCTCTACAGCCGATAGTTCCATTTGTTTATCCGGGGTTCCGACCAGAAACAATCTCACGCTGTTATATTTTTCCATCAGACTTAAGTGTGACCAGGTTTCTCTGATCGCCACCCTGTTTTTCACATTGTTAACAGCGGATTTGATGAGAAATATAAAAAATGGCGAACCATCAACACATTTGTCTATGCGGTAGTGCTTAAAGTTGTATTGATATACAAATAAAGGTTTGTGTTCTACGTGTATATTTGACTTCAGTTTTCGCACGAGCTCAACCATATCGACATTCAAAGGGTACGGGAACGCTGACCAAGGATCTTTTGTATGATTTGATGATTTCATTTCCATTGATTCAGTGGAATAAAAGGTTGATTCAAGTTGATGAAATTTTGTTGTTTTGCTTATTTTGCTTTCTTCCCAGTTTCCTGTATCAATATTCAAATATTGAACGTCGGTCAAATTGCTTTTCGTATCATTTGTTAATTTCCAAGATAAGGCTTTCCGATAATGCTGGTATTTTCTGCTGGTAGTTAGGCGATCGAAATTCCAGACCAACATGCCGGTAGCGAGGACAAGTACCAGGCGTAGTAACTGTTTTAATACCTTAATGAAGGACGCCATTCTGAAAATACAGGGAAAAAATACCATTTAAACAAACTCTAATTAGTGGGGGCCGCAAATTACTTCCCCCAAACTGGCCCAAGGTTTCCAAACAATGGATAAGAAAAGTCTCGCAGTTCAATAATATACGCACATATCAAGTTTAAGCAAAATCGGACACTATCAAAATTTCGACTAATCAGGAGACCTTTTACTGTACCATACTGTTATATCAGGAAGTCATAGGCGTCACAATATTTATATTTCAACCGAACAAAGGCCGCAGCGGCCATCATGGATGTGCAGCTGTTTAAAAATCTGAATTAAAAAATGTAGTTGATTAAAAAAGCATCGGTTACCAACATTCAATAAATAAGAAATACAAATAAAACATTGAAAAAAACAATTATTTAATTGTCCATCATAAATGATTGCCCTAATTAAATAATAATATACAACATTTATATAGCGCCCTATATAATTTGTAAAATTACTCTAAAGCGCTTACAATCACCATTTTACATAAAGCAAGAAGATAACCATCTCAATGTGCACATAAATGAATAAATAAACGATGGTATTTACATGGCGTCTGTGCAAAGAGTCTTAAATGCAGACGTGGTGAGATGAGTTGTTATGTCCTTCTTGAATTTGGCGAGATGATTTTTAATCAGGAAATGTAGTTGACCATGAGATGTCTGTGGAAAGATGAAATGTCGTTCAGGTTAGTTGGTTGTATAGAGTTTAACGTACGTTCAACAGCTAATGTCTTTGCAGAATGTGCTCCGTGTGTGTTGTGTATGCGTGCATAACTATGTGAATGTGTGCTGGAGGCAGGGTAAGTTGAAGATCATGTGAGGCGATAACAGTGTACTACATGATCCTGAACACCTCCGTCCCTGTTACCAACAAAACAACATTACAGCCTTAAGGACCAAGTACAAAGGATATATGTCAACCACATGTGTCGCAATCCCCATACTACGTGATTATAGTAATCATTTATATTTAACTTTACAAAATGATTGTGTTTTCTCACATTTACATCGGAACCGTACAATGTACAAATACCCACTTGTCACTTGTCAAGGGCCTCAGCGAAATTTAACAATTCCTGTAATGTCTGTACTTGACATAATGTTTATTTTGGGTTACAGCTAGGGTCACATGAAGACGGGCGTCTAGGGAGTCTTATTTTTGTTAGTAAGCCTGGGGTTTAGTATCCTCGCACGAACTAAGTTAATATGTAAACGGGTGTCTAGGGTAAGGTTTGTTTTGATATGATTTTGTTAAACGTCCTATTAACAGCAAAGGTCATTTAAAGATGTGCACATTATACTGACACCGAGTCAGTTGATGCGAATACATTTTATGCTTAACGTTAAGCAGGGAATAACAACTACCATTTTTAAGGCTTTTGATATGTGCTGGCCTGGGGACAGAACCCCGTGCCTACCCCATTTGGGCGAACGCTGAAGACTAAGACTAGAAGTGAGTTACTGCCAATCAAGACACTAGAAAACGAACAGGTTTTCAAGAAAAGAGAGAAAACATGAAGATCCCAAATGTTGAAATGGGGGCAGCAAATCAAGTGGCGTTTCTTTAATTTCCATTCACCAGAGGACACAGAAATGGAGGCAAGAGATGCATTTTGGTTTCCTTCACTGTCATGAACAGAAGACGTAACATAAAATCCCCAATCCTGCAGGGGTCCTATATCAATTGTTTCTTACAACAGCCAGGGTTATATAAGGACGGGTGACTAGGGAGACAACAGCAAGGGTCATATAAGGACGGATGCCTAGGGAGACACAACCGCCAGGGTCATATAAGGACGGGTGACTAGGGAGTCAACAGCCAGGGTCATATAATGACGGATGCCTAGGGAGACACAACCGCCAGGGTCATATAAGGACGGGTGACTAGGGAGTCAACAGCAAGGGTCATATAATGACGGATGCTTAGGGAGACACAACCGCCAGGTCATATAAGGACGGGTGACTAGGGAGACAACAGCCAGGGTCATATAAGGACGGGTGACTAGGGAGTCAACAGCCAGGGTCATATAATGACGGATGCCTAGGGAGACACAACCGCCAGGGTCATATAAGGACGGGTGCCTAGGGAGTCAACAGCCAGGGCCATATAAGAACGGGTGCCTAGGGAGTCAACAGCCATGATTATATAAGAACGGGTGACTAGGGAGACAACAGCCAGGGTCATATAAGGACGGGTGACTAGGGAGACAACAGCCAGGGTCATATAAGAACGGGTGCCTAGGGAGACACCGCCTGAAACAGAAAGTAGATAGACTCCGACAAGCAAATACAGGGGTCATTTAAAAAATAATTGTATATGGAACGTAGCGTATATGGTATGTCAGAGTGTGTAGACGCACATGTAAGTGACTACAGGTAAGCGAACAGGTAAGAAACTATTTAACCGGTAACCAGAGTTGTTATAGTCTGTCTCGTGGCTCAATGCGACAGTTATGTGACCGTGGTAATTGATATTTCAGTATCTCCGTTAAGGATGTCATCCGGAACGTCTGTTGTATTTTTCTGACACCGATTAAGAAAGAAAAAAATCCCCGAGTCAGAATTTTTAACACTTACACGGTGTCTTTTTATAATAGCGTTAAGAAATTGTTCAACACATTTTCGTCACTTCATTCCTTTGCATTTTTGTATAGAGGTGGTTGGACAAAAGGACGTTTGTTAGCTCCTTGCAACACAAACAAAATATTTAAATATGGGTGGGGGATCCTTTTATACTATTCTTCGAAGACTGTTCTAGGGATCATTTCAGGGTAGTGAATTTTCGGATTTCTATACTACTGCGATCAACTCTAGCATGCACCGAGTCTTTGTTTTCAGTATAAACCATAATTTAAAATAAATCTTCTCAGAAAAAAAACCCAGTAAGGTGATATCAGCCAAGATAAGTTTATCAGTTGTACATGTAATGAAAACCAGGGGATGTTACTGTAGGTAAGGAGCACTAAAAGACCGTTTTCTAGTGTTTTGTCTCAAGCAGGAGACAGGAATCTTTAAAACAGATGAAATGAAAAATAATTTTGAGATGTTGCCTGATTTTACTACTCTCGGCGTCCGTCTCTGTCTCCGTGTTAGGTCTGGTAAATGTCTATTACCGATGTCGTCAAATACAGATACATGTATGTATAGCAACTGCTCTCCATTCATGTTTCACCGGCAAACCTTCCAAATAACATCACAACGGAATGAATATGAATAATCATCCCCCTCATATTTCAGTCTTTCAAATGATATATAAGAATTACACAAAAAAGGAGTTGAGGCGTCGGTAATGTTTACGAATGCAGGGTATGAAACATGAATATGAACCCTACCTCTGATATAAACTTTATTTCTTTTATAACAATTATGAAACAATTTATAAACTTATCCTAATCACTCTTGTTTACCCGGATGTTAGCACGCGGGGGGTCTTACTGTGGGAGGAAACCGGAGTACCCGGAGAAACCCTACGTGGTCGGGCAGGTGACCCCATACCTTTTCGCGTCAGATCGAGGAATCGAACCCCGGCCACCTTAGTGAAAGGCAAATGCGCTATCCACTGCGCCATCATACCACCCGTTGTTTAAAATGCGTGAGTTAGAAGTGTAAGAAATTTCAATGCTTTTTTGATAATTTAACTAGCTGCGCAAGATTATTGTTAGTGCTAAACAAATTACCCTCGATAAATATTCAATTACTTAATACATTATTATGATTGTCACGTCGAATCGTGTTTTTTTGGCATAAAATTAGGTTGCTTGTGATGTGTACTGTGTTGGGACAATGAAGAAAATGATGGAAAATTGTTCAATTATAGCGGCCATTTTTTTTTACATTACTCAGGTGTCAAATTTTCAAATCTATAAAGTCAGCATCAGATCCGCGCTATCACAAGGAGGTAAGTACGCCAACATACCCTGTCTCCGACTCCAACACACATGGAGGCACGTCCTTAAATGACCTCAGCTTTTAATAGGACGTTAAACAAAACAAAACCAATGTTATTACACATTCCTGTTCCCAGCTGTATTAACAGACTATATAAACTTACCACTCTTGTCAACTGACTGTTTCCCATAATCTACAGCAACATCACCAACAGGCAAAGGGGCAAACTATAATCACCCCTTTTCTCAGTTCTGAAACTGTCCCTAATGAAGATATTCTATCAGTGCTTAGAACATTTTGAAAACGGATGTATGACAAATCTTGATATTGCAGCATCCACAGAAAATACCGAAATCTCGTTCACCAGTGAAAACGTTATCAACTGCAAAGAGTTGAATCAAGTTGTGTTTATGCCAGTGTGGTTGCGTTTATTGATGACAGGGTGGAAATAGGAGATGTTGGGTAAGAAACCATACCTTTGTTTATGAACAAGAATGTGTACATTGTACTAGTGATTTATACCAAACACCTATAGCCTAGTATATGCTTTGTGATGAAAAGGCAAAAAAGAGTGAAAATTGTGTGTATTTAAATCATGACAGACATTCTTTCAATTCTATATGGGAGTTACATGTCACATTCGTTTACCAAGGACCCATCCTCATGGATGGAGGACAAAAACACCAGCAAAGTGACAATCTATCTTTAGTAACATTACTGTAACAAATTCTTTGTTTTGTCGCTGTGAAACTGTTTCTGATCGACAATATTATAACAGCGCTTACATTGTATCAAACATTTCAATGTATGGCAACTCTTAACTTGTTTTCCTTTAAAAAGTTTAATCGGGATCACAATGTCGATATTCACCAGGAAACAAGTGTTGCAACTACTGAATAGCATCTAGCTTAACGAGTCCAAAATGGACTTACCTTGCCCGGGTTGATCGGTTGCCCACTGAAAGATGACAGTAAAACTAGTATATGTTTCTGTCCTGTTTTCTGAGTTTATACAATGTAGGTTAATGGCTCAACCATCTTATGCATTAAAAACACGAACATGATGTTCACGTAACGTTCCATCGAATACATCTCCCATGTCAACATTCACGCTCAATGAGATGAATATTTAGCTGACACCAGCTTATCAGCCCCAATACATATGATAGTGCAGTACACACTAGGACGTGTAGACCACCTGTTGTCGTGTATGATATCAGTCTCGTTAAAGCCCGTTTATCCCGTCATAGTAAACGAATAATGTATCTGTCATTTTATAACCAGTATTGGCTGTCCGTAAATTTAAATATCAACTGAAAATACATTTCAAGTCTCAGTGGTTGTGTTGAATAATGCGCAATCAGTTTAAAAAGAAATATTTGCTGTCTGGGTTTTACTATCAAAACAAAAAACTACAAACATTTCACTATGACACGCTTTATCGATATTAAGCGTTAAACAAGATAAACTACGAATTATTTTGTATCTAATTTCTTATACTTGATTTCGAATAAAGGAACTTTTCTTAAATAATTTATTCCTAGAGATTATCAAGATAAAGGAGTGTATTCAAAATCAAGAATGATGTAAATTTAGACACTAGGCCGCTATTTGAATAATACAGATAGTCCTCGTATTACCTGTTGTTAAAGAGTGCATTTATATTCTAGTAGGGTTTTAAAACTGTTTATGTCTGAATTTTAGCTTTATCATTTATCAATGCCGGATGGGTTATTGGGTTTTTCCTCGTGCTTATACCAAGGAAACATGGAATAAGTGTTATAACTGACTTTCGTCGTCGTATACCTCATACCCTGGAAACATGCAATCAGTGCTAAAATTAATATGTCGTATACTTCATACCCTAGAAACATGGAATCAGTGCTATAACTGACTATCGTCGTATACCTCATACCCAGGAAACATGGAATTAGTGCTGTAAATGACTATCGTCGTATACCTCATACCCTGGAAACATGGAATCAGTGCTATAACTGACTATCGTCGTATACCTCATACCCAGGAAACATGGAATCAGTGCTATAACTGACTATCGTCGTATACCTCATACCCTGGAAAGATGGAATCAGTGCTATAAATGACTATCGTCGTATACCTCATACCCAGGAAACATGGAATCAGTGCTATAAATGACTATTTTCGTATACCTCATACCCAGGAAACATGGAATCAGTGCTATAAATAACTATTGTTGTATACCTCATACCCAGGAAACATAGAACTAGTGCTATAAATGACTTAATAGACTATAAATACAGATGTATGCGCTGCCATACCGTTAACTGTTTTGTATATGGACATATTTTCCGGGATTGAAACTCGCCTGATGTTTGTATACAACGCCATTCTCGTTTACCTCAAAGATTGGTGAGTTGATCACTTGGACAGTCACGTGAAATTGTTATCCTTACGATATCAAAAAATAGATACCGAGGTTAATGTAAACAAAGACAAGTGTGCCAGGTTCTACAACTCGTCTCTCTTTTTTATCCTGTTGCAGGATAATATCATATGATTTTAAAGCAACCACGTTATCGTATTTTATGGCAAGTAGTCAGCCATCTCTACGAAATTAGCTGGTAGCGGAGGCCAAAAAAGAGGTATTGATATATGTATATGTATATACAGTGCATAAGATAACTGTCAGAATGAGTAATATGTATGTTTGATGTTTTCTCAATATCCAAAACAGTATGAAACAATTCTGTAAATATTCCTTTTTAACTCTCACTAGGGCTGACATGCATATTTATCATCTATATACTACTTTATACCACCTAACGGTAGCAGGCTCAATTAATTATCATTGATTCTCAGTATGAGAAGTTGAGAACGACTTGAGAACAACTTGAAAACAACTTGAGAATCGATTTTACCATTTCCCAGCGCTTAGGAATGTATCTTCTCAAAAAGAGAACGTCTGCTCGCACAAAGTGACGTTCGAAACCACAAATAGAGTCCACACAAAAGTATCAAGAAATTGTCTAGTTAATCCTCGTATTACCTGTTGAAAAAGAGTGCATTTATATTCTAGAAGGGTTTAAAAACTCACCTGTTTAGTCGGAGTTTCGGACAAGGATACTACCTGAATAAAATTGATATACGTACCTCTGTACCTCTAGAGCGAATCTTATCCGTGTTTTGTAGAACACCTTTGTAGAATCGATAAAGCCGTTTAAAGAGTTTTATCATTTATCAATGCCGGATGGGTGATGCAGGTAGTTGACGGGCATTTAATCACCTCACAATTGCCTTATTCATATCATGCCAAACAGATATATTGGGGTTTTCCTCATGCTTATACCACAAGTTGAACTATTTACATTACAGGTAAAGCGTATTCAGCCAGTTTAGGCATCAGAGGTCATTCAAAACATTAACAACACAAAGTGGGGAGCATACACACATGTGTACTAAAATATAAAAAGCAAATGAATAGTCGAACGTGAGAAAAAAGTGTTTACGCTAAGCTATCTACATTATTATTGATTTAGAGTTTAAATCACAATTTTCTTGACACTTTGGCATTATTTCCTTATCACGGTATGGTAAATATGTGCAATGCAAGGTAGTCTGTCTAGTCTGTCAAACGAGCAGGTTTGACCTGAAAACGCGATGATATTGATCTGTTTTTACACTTATTGGATAGCTGCAATGAGTCATCAAATTATACACAAACCCAAGCCACAATTAGGTTCTCGATTTTCCTTTCATACAAAATTTTAAAAAACACATTTAATAGTAACACAGGTAAGTTATTAAACCCAGCCCCGGAAATCTTGCATGGCTCTGGAGGAAAACCTGTTATTCTCTCATGACTCGTAGAATTGTTGGCGTTTTGTCAGACATGCCTGTAGGAACTTGCATTTGCCAACGAAACAAAGCAAGATATTGAACTGACCCACCTCGTTAAACTTTAAACATCGATCACTCAAACTCCTTACTCTAAAAAACAAACCTTTGTGACATCTTTGAACAGAGAAAATATTATATTGTATGTGTATTATGTTGTGTGTGTGCTTTCCTCTGGAGGCGGAATGATGATGTATTTGCCTCCTTGCGACAGCATGAAATAACAAATACAATAAATAGATTTTGTTGATATGTGTATTATCAATGTGACTTAAAATGCACAATGTAAATTTCCTGTCCCACTAGAAATTTGGTTTTAACGTGTACACTATTACATAGATATTATTTTTTCTCAGATAGAAAAGTCGAGTGATGACATATCAATGTATATATGATTAAAATTGTATTATATTTATTATAATATAAAGTAATATATTTAATCTATCACAGGAACTTGTATGGAAATCCTACCACTGAATCAGTTGAAATTAATGTCATTATTTCTTAATTCGTCTTAATTCTAGATTTTGCCTTTTTTAGAGTTGAGATCATTTTCCTTCATGCAAATTTGGAGGAATTTTGTTAATGACAAGTAGTCCGCCATCTCTGGCTACGAAATAAGCTGACTAGCGGAGGCCAAAAAGAGGTATTGATTTCGTTCGTCAACTCTGTGGTTCTGTCTCGACTTAACTTCAGCTGGCTACAGGTCAATGAACGACAACACGTTTTATAAAGTTCTACATTTTATTATGTGCAAAATGAAACAGTGAAGTAAATAAGATGAAACATGATGAATAGATATGCACAATGTTACATCACGTCAACCACTCGACAGGTCCATACTGAAAACAGTATACCGTGTAACATATGTCCTCTCAAAAATGTCTACCCGGTATCCCACCCCANTTCGTCAACTCTGTGGTTCTGTCTCGACTTAACTTCAGCTGGCTACAGGTCAATGAACGACAACACGTTTTATAAAGTTCTACATTTTATTATGTGCAAAATGAAACAGTGAAGTAAATTAGATGAAACATGATGAATAGATATGCACAATGCTACATCACGTCAACCACTCGACCGGTCCATACTGAAAACAGTATACCGTGTAACATATGTCCTCTCAAAAATGTCCACCCGGTATCCCACCCCAGGGAATAAGTTTAAACACACTCCGATGATATATTACAACATGCCTACACCGGGAAGATAACCATCCCAAATTAACATTGATATAATTCTACCTTAACATGCCTACAATGGGAGAATAACACCCAGCCCGAAATAATTTTGAGGTCTAAGGCCGAAATACACTCCTAATCTACATACCTGTCCGTAAGAAGGGTAAAGACGAGCCGGCCAACTACATGTAAGCCTCTGCCAGACTGATTTACAATACCAAAACACCCAGCTATATAGCCAAATTTAATTGTATGCCTTGAAATGCACGGGCCATGTAGTATTTGAAATACACGTGCAATGTAGTATTTGAACTCGATACTGACCCATACCTGAGCGTAGAGTGCTGTACAGGTAAGGTGACAGATCCCAATCAGAAACGTCTAAATATAATACCGACAGGGAATACCCACGGTAAACTGATCACAACACGCACTCCGTTTTACAAAACGTAAATACGGAACTATATACAACAAGTAAGTGTGCAAAACCCAATCCTTTTACACATGTATATACAGGGCATTAGATATGACATCTTTCAGAATGAGTAATATGTATGTTTTATATTTTCTTGCATGGCTCTGGAGGAAACCTGTTATTCTCTTTTGACTCGTAGAATTGTTGGAGTTTCGTCAGACATGCCTGTAGGAACTTTCATTTGCCAACTAAAGAAAGCAAGATATTGAACTGACCCACCTCGTTAAACTTTAAACATCAATCACTCAAACTCCTTACTCTAAAAAACAAACCTTTGTGACAGCTTTGAACAGAGAAAATATTATATTGTATGTGTATTATGTTGTGTGTGTATTTGCCTCCTTGCGACAGCATGAAATAACAAATACAATTAATAGATTTTGTTGATATGTATATTATCAATGTGACTTAAAATGCACAATGTAAATTTCCTGTCCCACTAGAAATTTGGTTTTAACGAGTACACTTTTACATATATATTAATTTTTCTCAGATAGAAAAGTCGAGTGATGACATATCAATGTATATATGATTTAAATTGTATTATATTTATTAGAATATAAAGTAATATATTTAATCTTCTTTAATTAACAATCAGTTG